GCCCCAATATGCCCAAATATCAAAGAGAAATTAAAAATGCATGCCGTGGAAGAGTTTGGGTCTTAGGAGGTTAATGCACAAATTAAAAGCGCACACAAAAACAGGTGGAATAAAATGCTCCAAGTAACATATTCATAGACAAGGGGGAGGAGTTTGTTTTACTTACGGATTCCATTTCGCAGCCACTTGGGTTTAGTCTGCCACCACACACCAATAAAATAGACGGGCAGTCCGGTGCCGATGATCCCAAAGCCGATGGCGCACTCGACTGGAGTCTTCCAGAAGGAGACGATGATAAGGAAGAGGCAGGCTAACACAAAGCTCACTGGTAGCAGAATGTTCACCTGCAGGGAGAAGCACAAAAACTCATAACTGAGCGTTTGCTGAGAAATAACGCCACTGTAAGCCACCTCTGCATTGGCTCGATGTTTTAGAGTCAGCGCGAAGTGACCAAAACTACAGTTCCTCCATGAGCCACTTGAGGCAGGCTCGCAAAAGGAGTCAAAAGCTCCTAAAATACGCAAATTTGTAGCAGGAAAAAGAATATTTGCAATATGCTACAAAAAAAACAAACAGTTATGACGTAAACTGTTTTACAACGTATCCACCTGGATAACTGAGCTACGGGCGTGCCACCACTTAGCCAATATGTGTGTGCATTGCCCCTATGGCAGCTACAACATTAGCACGTCACCATTTCATCCACATAAGGTGGCAGCGGAAATGCTAACAAGGAAGGCTCAAAATCAAATCCTAAACCAATGAGGGACATCATGGTGGCTAAATCCATCATTTATACTCTATGCACAGAACCTACGGCCATCTTTCATATACAGTCTTTGTGATATCTAACCTGGCCAAGCTAGATGCAATAAGGCAGGATGCTCCCTATTATGTATGCTAGATAAACTCATTTAACCACTAGTGTCCACTAATGGACTCTTCCATTAGCACCCTTCAGTTGTAAAAATCATCAGCCAAGTAAAATATCGAATCACCGCCACCCTCACAGCTCTAGTTAGCTGAGGTGATAAAAGGGGATGCCAGGATGTGGCAGATGGCACGATTCAATAAAGTCTAAATCTTTCACAGATTGTCCTTATAATCTATGGTGGCCCTGAGAGGCCAAATGCACTGCAACTTAAGAAAACACCAGTAAATAGAAAAAACACAGAAAAAGCTCACAAAACACAACAGAAGTGTAAACGGCTAATAGCAAACATGCATCTACAGTATCTTATGGATTATCCAATTAAAATTACCTGCATCTTTTGCTCCCTCACAACACAAATACATAAGCTGTGAATGCGTCTCCCAGAAAAATTTCAACTGTTGTGTCTTGAAAGCTTTTGCAGTATTTTTACATTCGCTCATACTTTCTTAAAGTTTAAGCTGCAGTGTATTTGACCTCCCAGCGCCACTGTAGTAATCCTTATTACCGGGTTATGTTTGATAGCGTCTGTGTTCAACAATCATATATGTGATGCACATGTGTTCAGATGCATCTGGCCACGTAGCATCAATGTGAGCGGACACTGTCAATAACCGAGCTGTTCTTAGGGCACAGTGTTGCATCTCTCCTACAAAAAGGACTCATTAATAAATCTAACTGTGTGATTCTCCGCTACTCTCATTGGCTGAACAGCAGGAATGTGACAGACAAAGAAAGGAGAAAGGAAAAGAGTGGGAGAGTGAAAGAGAGATGGAGGTCAGCAGGGACAGTGCCGCTCCTGTCCCAGCCACCCGCTTTCACACAGGACTGGACCAGTACATCCATTTGCCTCTTTCACTTTTCCGCCTCTGACCATCAAACACACACTCAAATTGTAACAAGGGTCCTCTGTGATGCGGAGAGTGCAGCGGTAGCACGCTTCCTCTTCCTCTCACACACACACGTTTGTGTTTCCATCACCTCAGAGGACATCACGGAGATTGTGCAAACCTACCCAAACCATAGCTAACTTTCCAAATCTGGACCCTAATTGTGAAAGCTTTCAACCTCAAATGTAACATTCAAAGACCTTTTTTTGCTTTTCCCACACTGACTGTATAAACAGATTCAGGTCCCCACAGCATGGGTAACACGAGTACACTGGACACACACAAGCACGCAGCCAGCCTCAGCACCAGCTGACTAGCATCCAGCTCCCCTCCTGTCTTTTAATCTGCGATCAGTATCTGTTCATCTGCACTGAATGGATCTTTGTCTGTCGCTTTACACAAAGAAGGAAGATTTCCTGCTGCCAAAGCCAACTTCAGTGGGAGTCAATGATGACAAAGACCAAGAGAAGATCCATTGTTTTGGCCTGCCTGACAGGCTAGTTCTCTCCACCACCAGCCACATTTTTTGCTGAAAACCTCTTAAAAACAGTTCTCGAGGCTGACTCACCTTTATTGGTCGATCCAGCTCAGGCTTCTTATAGCGGAGCCACATCATTCCTACGATTGCCATGGCGATGCAGAGCCAGTTGAAGAAGCTGAAGAAGTTTATGACGGAGAAGATGTCGTTGGAGAAGGCGTAGAGCAGCGTCATTAAACACTGGACAGACGGAGAGAAGGGAAAACATTACCTCTCTAAGTCTGGTGACACTGCCTCCATCTTTGATGCTAAGTATGAGATTTTCTGCATGCAATTAAATAAAGTAACTCATTGAAAACAGTTCTGAGCAGGTGTAAAAGTTGCTAGCATGTTGGGATGGGTTTGATTCTCAGCTGTGTAAGAGAGCAGCAAAAAGTCTTTGTTTCCAGAAAAGTTCACCTTTGTCCTTTTATTCAAAATTAATTAAAAATATTCTGTAACTGCATATAATAACCTATTATGCAGTGAAGTGAAGTGAGATCCCACAAATTAAAATACTCAAAAGATACGCACGCTATTATTTTAGCTATGGTTTCAGAAGATGTGCTCTCTCGCGTGCCAATAAAGAAAGTTAAAAAACCAAAAACATACAGTGAATATAAGTGAGGGGAGTGGGGTCAGCAGAGTGGGGTGGATCATTGACAGCAGACTGGGCAGGTGACCCTCCCGAGAACCCACAAAGAATAACCTGAGATGGATAGAAAGACACAGATATGTGATTAATCGCTGTGAAAAGAAAGATGAAGAGGCTCCGGGTGTTTCTAATCTCGACTCTTAACACTTGCTAATTGTGTGTGTGTGTGCGCACGAGTTGTTTTTTTAACATGGTTGGTGTGAGAGTGTTACCTGGATGATGTGAACAATGAGCCGTTGACTGATCCGAAGCAGGACAGGCCTACAAACACCGGGATGATCCACGCCATGGGACCCAGGTGGTAGTTACCAAAATCCTGTAGGCAACAACATCAGCAACATATATTCAGCATTCAGCAGCAAGTATTCACATCTTTGGACCTGTTATACCCCCCACCCAAATATACAGTGCTGTGCAAAAGCCTTGAGCCACTGCTAATTTCTTTAAGACCATTACAATCAAGACCGACTTCTTAGAAGCTAAACATAAAATGGTCCCAGGCAGTAGTTTTCCAGGCTTCCTGAAGGTGTCTTAAAGGTTTTTTTGGACATTGGCTGCTTTAAAATACTGCTGTAAAACATGGTGGAGACTCTGTCAGGGTTTGGGGTTACATTGCAGGCAGTGTTGGGCAATGATCCCAAACACTATGCAGTAAGCACACCTGGATTGAAAAACACACTATCACTCATGAACTGGCCTCCCCAGAGGCTGGGCTTCAACATTATTAAAGTAGTATGCAATCATCCTGATAAAGATCGGAACAAAAGCCAGTCAGCATCTACAGAAGAGCTTCAAATGTCCTTGAAGAAGCCTGGAGAACTATTCCCTAAGACCACTTAGAGGAATTACAAGAAAATTTCCCTTCCGCTCCACGGGTGGTTTCGGATTGGCTTTAACTCAGGAGGTAGATTAGAGCAGGTTGTATACTAATCAGAAGGTTGCTGGTTAAGTCTACTCCAGTCTGCATGTCAAATATCCTTCGGAAAGACCCCAAGCTGCTCTCCGAAGCATCTATTGGAGTATGAATGTGTCAATATAAAATTGTACTTAGTAGTCAGTATAATCTTTTAGTGATATATAAGTTTGCATATTATAGAATACTGCATGATGACCCTTTTATGACTGTTGTTGGAATCAAGACTTGCTTTATAAATTCTTTCTCA